TAACAAGAGAAACACACTGATTATTATTTTTAATTGCTTAACAAAATTAACATTTTATACTACTTGATGTGTGAATTGACATAAGAACTCAGTTTTTACCAAAGCTAAAGTGTTTAATAAATGCTGTAAAAATACACTACCTGACAAAAGTCTTGTCGCCTATCCAAGTTTTAGGAACAACAAATAATAACTTGACTTCTAGTTGAACATTTGGTATTAAAAGTGGCTTATTTGAAAGGCAAAGCCGTCTAGATTACACTTATTTTACCAAATACATTCATCTTAACCCAGACATGCTCAATAATGTTCATGTCAGGTGACTAGGCTGGCCAATCCTGGAGCAACTGGACCTTCTTTGCTTTTTAACGACTTTAATGTGTAGGCTAAAGTGTGAGGAGCGCTATCCTCCTGAAGAATTTGCCCTCTCCTGTGGTTTGTAATGTAATTGGCAGCACAAATGTCTTGATACCTCAGGCTGTTGATGTTGCCATCCACTCTGCAGATTTCTCACACGCCCCATACTAAATGTAACCCCAAACCATGGTTTTTCCTTCACCAAACTTGACTGATTCCTGTCAGAATGTTGGACTATGTGTGTTCCAGTAGGTCTTCTGCAGTATCTGTGATGATTGGGATGCAGTTCAACAGATGACTCATCAGAAAAATCTACCTTCTGCCACTTTTCCAAATGATCAACTAGAAGTCAAGTTATTAAGTGTTGCTCTTACGACTGGGATCGACAACAAGACTTTTGTCAGGCAGTGTACGTTTATCCTTTGTTAGTTGATGTAAGCTAATGCTAACAAACAAGACCTCATTGTGAAGTGTCAAAAGTCAATTTATGCTCATGTAAACAAAGAAAGTAAACAGAATCAGGCCACATTCCTTCCCTCAAAATCATTAAAAATAAAAAAATAAACTCAACGTCATTAATTGTTTCGTAAATAATCAAGCAGCGCTTAACCCAGTCCTTTTCAGCTTATACAATCTCAATCATGCATTAAAAAAATAAAACCCTTCAAGATCAACAAAATCCACGTGACCAAAACCACAACCAAACTCAAACCCATGATCCATCCATCACCTCAACATTTACTTGCTGCGAAATAAAAAAAAAACATCACAAAATAAACGAAAACAACATTCAGAATCAGGACGAGCTCTTGAGGTGATTTACTGAGAACAGTTTTGGCATTTCTGTATCAAATATGTGCACAAAAATCCTCTGTACAATACACAACGTAAAGAGAAATCCACGGTCTTCCTTTTTTTTTGCATCATAAAAAGAAGATATAGTACTTTGATATTATGTACAGTGTAAGAATTATATTAACATATATATATATATATATATATATATATATATATATATATATATATATATATATATATATATATATAGTTACCATATATATTCAGTCACAAGTTGATTTGAGAAAGGCACAGCGTTAACCATTTGTTGGTTAAGCAAAACTAGTCCCTCTCACACACAGAAAAAAAAGAAAACAGCCTTCATTAAGGTGCCGTTAAAGTTAGAAAATGACAGGGTTAGTCAGTTTTCTGCAAAGGAAAAGAGCCGGAGATGAAACCACAAGTGGAAAAAGCAAGAATCCGCACGGAAGCCATGTGTTAAGGAAGTGTTTCTCAACCACGTTCTTAGAGGACAACCAGCACTGCATGTGTTGGGCGTCTCCTTTGTCTATCCCACCCATAACATGTCTTCCAGTCTCTGCTAATGAGCTGATGATCTGAATCAGGTGTGTTTGGTTAACGAGACAAGAAAAATATGCAAAACTGGTGGTCCCCTAGGAACACCGTTGAGAAACAGTGTGTTAGGAGACTGTCAGTTTGTAAATTAGATCCTTTCCAAGCCAAGTGTCGATTATGACATCTCAAACACAATGCATTATTGGTAAGGAGGGCTTATTATTCCCTGCAAGCTGATTTAAAAGCATCCCTTCATCTGGAAATCCCAAAAACACTAATTCAACACACAGGCTACAAAGTGCCATATATTACTGCCACAGACACCACTCGGTCGAGCTCTTTGCCACTGGATTCTGCCATGAGGTATTGCCATGTTTCATCTGTAAACATGGTAGACAGCCTTTTTTTCAGCCATTATTTTCTTTCTCTAATCACACAGCACTACGACTCTGGCAAAGAACTTGGAGCATGAGGAAGCAGCTGTGGGTGAATCTCACAAATGTACACTGTAAACAATGCTGGGTTCCCAATTTCTTCTTGTTGTGCCAACACAAATCGATTATGCGGACTTACAAATGTAAGTGGACTGAACATAAAATAATTAAGTTGTGTCCAAAAAAACCTTAAAAATTGTGTTGTTTCAACTCATTTTATTTAAGTAGTTTTAACAAGAAGTTAATCAAGAAGAGTGTAATCAAGATGAGGTCAGGATTAAACTACACAGACTAAAGTAAATGAAACAATGTAATAAATAATATACCAAAAACTTTTTAGAAAGTTTATTTATGACAGAAAAAAGGAGCCTGCTTTATGCACTGTTGAAGTCTTGCATTGTGACTTTTGTTTGTAAAAATAAGCACATTTCTTGTTTAAATTCTTGCTGGCATGAGGTGGTAAGAAAGGGATTATTTTAATGTGCATGTTATGATAGTAGGGGTTTACGGAATTTACTTCAAGTGGATTAAATTATGAATAATAATAAAAGTAGTTGTAGTAATAAAAATAATAATAATAATAATAAAGTAACTTTCAATAAGGTCTCATCTTATATTAGAGTAATACATACTGTATTATATTTTCTTATTAATTAAATTATTATATTAAAATGTATTTACGAAATCAATTATTATATTATAAATTAAAATAAATGATATATTTACAACACACAAAAGAGCCTACTTTATGGATTATTGAAAAGTCTTGCATTGTGACTTTTTATAAAAATAAGCACAAGACTAATATAAATTCTTGTTGGCATGAAGTGATAAGAAAAGGTTTATTTAAAGTACATGTTATCATAGCAGCTGTTTTATGGATCTTAATTCATTTGGATTAAATTATGAATAATAATATTAATATTAATAATAAAGTAATTTTACAATAAGGTCTCATCTGCTTATTTTAAAGCAATAAATATTGTATTGTATTATATTTAACATTCATATAACTGAATAAATGCTGAACAACTCATGTTAATAAAGGAGTTCTCATTGTAAAGGTATTTTGTATGCAGACAGAAGTGATTTACAGTAAAGATGAGGTCGGGGTTAAATTACACAGACAAAAATAAATCAATGAAACAAATTAGAAATCCAATTAATAATATAAGAAGAATATAAATAAAAGAAAGTATATTTATGACACAAAAAAGACTGCTTTATGGACTCTTGGACTATATATTTTTTAATCAAAATAAGCATTTCTTTCATATATTCCTGCTGGCATGAGGTGGTAAGAAAGGGATTATTTAAATGTACATGTTATGATGGTGGGTGCTTTACTGGATTTAATTTAAGATGATTAAATTATAAATAATGATTATAATCAAGTAACTTTCAAATAAGGTTTCATCTGCTTATAATATAATACAATATTTATTGCTCTAATAAATTTATAAATAAAATACTATATTATAAATTAAAAAGATTTCAAATAATTATATTATAAATTAAAAGAAAGTATATTTATGACAGACAAAAGTTCTTGCTTTATGGATTAATGACAAGTTTTGCATTTTGACTTTTTATAAAAAATAAGCACACAAGACTTTTAAAAATGCTTGTTAGCATGAGGTGGTAAGAAAGGGATTGTTTTAATGCACATGTTATGATAGTAGAGGTTTTATGGAATTTAAATCAATGGATTAAATTATGAATAATAATAACAACAACAACAACAAAGTAACTTTACAATAAGGTCTCGTCTGATTTTATTAGAGTAAGAAATAATGTACTATATTTATTCAACATTCATATAACTGAATAACTGCTGACTAACTCATGTTAATAAAGGAGTTCTTATTGTAAAGGTATTTTGTATGCAGACAGAAGTGTTTTACAGTAAGGATGAGGTCGGGGTTAAATTACACGGACAAAAATAAATCAATGAAACAAATTAGAAATCTAATAAATAATAGAAGAAAAGATGTAAAGAAAGTATTTATGACACAAAAAAGCCTGCTTTATGGACTATTGACTATTATTGTGACTTTTTATAAAAGTACTTATATAAATTCTTGCTGGCATGAGGTGGTAAAAAAGGGATTATTTAAATGTTTATGTTATGATAGCGGGTGTTTTACTAGATTTAATTGAAGATTATTAAATTCTAAATAATGATTATAATAAAGTAACTTTCAAATAATGTCTCATCTGCTTATATTAGAGCAATAAATATAGTATTCTATTCTATTTATAAATAAATATATAACTTATTTATAATATATAATATTATAAATAAAAAATAATTAAAATAATTATTATAAATTCAAAAACCGTATGACACACAACACAGCCTACTTTATAGATTATTGGCAAGTCTTGCATTGTGACTTTTAATAAAAAATAAGCACATTACTGTCATAAAATCTTGTTAGCATGAAATGGTAAGAAAGGAATTATTTAAATGTACATGTTATGATAGTGAGTGTTTTACTGAATTTAATTCAAGATGATTAAATAATGAAAACAAAATAATAAAGTAACTTCACAATAAAGTTTCATCTGCTTATAATAGAGCAATAAATATTGTATTATATTATATTTAACATTCATATAACTGAATAACTGCTGAACAACTCATGTTAATAAAGGAGTTCTTATTCTAAAGATATTTTGTATGCGGACAGAAGTGTTTTACAATAAAGAGAACTATTATTATCATTTTTACATTGTGTGGAAATACAAGTCTAGGGGTCAAATGGGATTCATTTTCACAATGTGAGTATCTATGTGGAAACTAAAAGTGATGGATGTCACTTTAATGGTGGATGCCTAACATGAAAATGTACTCACTTTTTACTCTCCCTCAAGAGGTTCCAAATCGGTTTGAGATTCTTTCTTCTGTTGAGCACAAAGGAAGATATTTTAAGCTGAAAACCTGTAAGCCTCAACCTTTATAGCATTAATTGAAATGCTATGGAAGTCAATGGTTACAGGTTTCCAGCATACTTCAAAATATCTTCTCTTGTGTTCAACAGAAAGAAACTCAAACAGATTTGTGATACGTAAAAGGTAAACAATGGCAAGAATTTTCCGTTTTGGTCAACTATAGCTTTAACATCCTTTCATTCATTTCCTCCTCAAATTTAAAGCAGTTTTCTTGTGAGATTCACCCATCAGTTTTCAAGTCAATCCAGCCCAGCGTTCATTACCTCAACACACAATATTCACATCCTCTTCCCTGAAAATCAAGCTGTCTAACAGGAATATGCTGTTTAAGGCCAACAGAGAAGATAGATTCTAAAATGAGAGAGAGATATGCTTGTGAAAAGGAAAACTAAATATGCCACGGTTGATTTTTGGTATTTAAAAAAGAAAAGAAACCTCTCTGATTTGTGCTTTCCAAACATTTTAAAGGCACAGTTCACCTAAAAAATCTAAATGTAGTCAATATTTACGCTCTCAAGTGGTTCCAAACATTTATCCGTTTCTTTCTTCTGTTGAACACAAAAGATGATATTTTATATATTAAGAAAGATGAAAACCGGTAACCACTGACTTGTGACCCATAGCAGGGAAAAAATACTATGGAAGTCAATGATTGCAACATTCTTCGAAATATCTTCTTTCAACAGAAACCAAAAAGTCAAGGCTGATTAAATGATGACAGAATTTTACTTGATCACAAATTCATATATTTTGAAGAAAGCCAATAACTGGTAGCCATTGACTTTCATAGTAGGGAAAAAAATTACGATAGAAGTCAATTTACACAGCATTCTTCAAAATATCTTCTTTTGGGTGTTTCAACAAAAAAGAAAGAACCTCGTAAAGGTTTAAAAACAAGTAAAAGCTAAATAAATGATGGCAGAAGTTTACTTGAACACAAAATAATATATTTTGAAGAAAGCCAAAAACCGGTAACCATTGACTTCCATTGTAGGAAAATAATTACAATGGAAGTCGATTCTTACAGCTTTCTTTGAAATATCTTCTTTTGTGTTTCAACAAACGAAAAAACTTAAAGCTTTAAAAACAAGTAAAGGCTGAGTAAACAATGATAGAATTTTACTCCAACACAAAATAATGTATTTTGACGAAAGCCAAAACCGGTAACCATTGACTTCCATCGTATTTTTTTCCTACTATGAAAGACAATTCTTACAGCATTCTTAAGAATATCTTCTTTTGTGTGTTTCAACAGAAGAACGAAACTTATAAATGTTTAAAAACAAGTAAAGGCTGAGTAAACAATGACAGAATTTTCATTTGTAATTTTTTAAAAGTGAACTATCCCTTTAACAAATATCCTAATCTGAAGCAGACGCTTTAGACCCCACAGCAGCAGAGAAAAAGAAAGCCGAAGAGTGAATAGAGTTGAGATTTCCACCCGGAGAGAGATTAATGAAAGGGGACACAGAGAAGACACTTTTAGTTGGCTCATTTCACCAGGACTGACTTTGGGAGGAACGCATCCAGCTCCGATTCTCCTGCTTTGCTGGATGAAGCCGTGCTTGTGCTGGAAGTGCTGGTGTTCGCTTTGGGGAGACTGTACATATAGACGGCTCCTATGACCAATCCTGCGCCCAGCGTGAAGACCAGGTCCACGTGGAAGCCGAAGAGGTAGACGGATGTGATGGTGGACACGATGATGGAAAAAGAAGTGGCGAAGCCTTTGAGGATGTTGTCCGCGTACTTCACCACAACGGCCACCAGGAGGCCGCCGAACGCTTGATTGAAAATGACACCCCACACCATTGGTGTGTATCCAAACAAAAAGCCTTTTTCAGCGATGGCGGCGCCGTCGTTCCACCACATGCCGAGCAGACCCAAAACAGTCCCGAAGATCCCGAGCTGGATGTTCCTCATCCACACTGACGCCGAGCTGCCCTTCAGGATCTTCTCGAAGTAGACGCCGGCGAAGCCCGAGGAGAGGCAGGAGATGATGACGGACAGCAGACCCTTGAAGTAGTTCTGGTTGGCCGCAGTCACGGCCTCCTTCTGCTTGCCGCTCTCTTGCTCCACCTGGACGATGGCCACACCGGCGAACAGCAGCACCAGAGAGATCCACTGGATCCTGGACAGACTCTTCCGCAGCATCAGCACTGAAAACAGAGCCGTGGTCAAGATCTTCAGCTGATATGTGACCTGCAGGGGAAGTCATCAAAATACACGTCACTGCAATCTTTTCATTTTTACCAAACTTAACCTGCTTCTTTCATGATAAATATTGTCTTAATCTAAATTTAGATTTTAAAAGATCCAAATGTCATGTTAAAAAAAAATTATGAATCTCTTTTTAGCTTTGGAAAAACAAATTGAAATAATTTTAAGTGCTAAAATAAATGATAATATAAATAAAAATATGTTAAAGCATAAAGTGAAATGTATACAGTTGCAGTCATTATTAGAACCCCCCCCTCCCTAAGTTTTTTTATCACCAATTTCTGTTTTACAAAGAAAAGATTTATTAAGCACATTTCTAAACATAATAGTTTTAATAACTAATTTCTAATAACTGATTTATTTTATCTTTGCCATGATGACAGTAAATAATATTTTACTAGATATTTTTCAAGACACTTCTATACAGCTTAAGGTGACATTTGAAGGCTTAACTAGGTTAATAAGGTTAACTCGGCAGGTTAGGGCAAGTTATTGTATAATTATGGTTTGTTCTGCAGACAATCGAGAAAAAAATAGCTTAAAGAAGCCAAAAATTACCTTAATTTTTTTTTTTTAATTTTCAAAACTGCTTTTATTCTGGCCAAAATAAAACAAATAAGACTTTCATTCAGAAGAAAAAATATTATCAGACATACTGGGAAAATTTCCTTGTTCAGATCATTTAGAAAATATTTTAAAAACAAAAAAATTTCAAAGGGGGTTATTAATTCTGATTTCAGCTATATATCTACAGTATATATTATATATTTATTATTTGCTACCTTAAAGTCCCCGTGAAGTGGAAGCTGTGATCGTTATTTTTTTTGTAACACAGCTCCAAAAGAAACAGAATTGTAAATGAGCAAACAGTGGACGTGTCTTGTTTTTTCTACCGCGGGCTGAATGGAGGTAGTAAAGTAGGCATTTCATTCTGAAAGATCAGGAAAGGGGTTTTGGAAGAGTTATTACAGCCTAACAGACTCCTCCCGCTCACCATTCCTGTTTGTTCTCAAAACTGACAGTTGCAGCAGCGTTAGCCACACCAAAGAGCTTAGAATGACCAAGAGGCGACACTCTGGTGTAATTTGGGAAACAGCCACAAGAGGGCTTAGCGGCCATTTTGGAATGAAAACTCCAATAGAACAACAGCATATTATAAGTCTGTAAAATAAACTATTAAAAGTGCTGATGATTGTGATAATAAGTATTGTATTGTAGTCTTTCAAGTTGTATCTCAGCTTTAATGCACTTTTTAAATAAAGAAATAAAAAACAAAGCAGCTGCTTGCCATCGCGACAGTAATGAGATCCAATGGACGGCCGATCACTTTCACTCCAAAATGGCGGAATCCAGGGCTGTTGCTGGGCGCTGCTGTTGCAATGGAACGTTCTATTGAGTGTCGACTCTTGGTCATTCTAAGCTCTTTAGCCACACCCATTACATCAAAATCACGTCGTCTGATAATTTAACTGAAAACAAACGGGAAGTCCATTTTCACATTTCAATTCAAGATCACAAGGTTGAACTAGTTTTTCTTAATGACATGCACAGATTAATTATTCACCACAAAACTAGCAATGTGAGCTAACAAAAACATATGATTAGTTTTGATTTCTTGGGGACTTTAAGAATGTTTTTTTTCTGATTGGCTACAGAACAAACCACTTTTCCCCAATGACCTGTCTAATTGATATACGATATAAATTGGCTCTCAGAATGTACAAGAAACACTGCATTAAATTCCATTTTTCTGTGCCATGTCTTTAAAATATAGACAATGATTTTTTCCCAGTATTTTCAATCAATGGAGCTTCTGCGCTGGCCTGCTGCTCCTGATGAGCACGTATGTGTAAATGGCTTTTCAGCTCATTTTATGCTTGAACAACTAAATGAACGCTCAAGTCTATTTAACTGATTATATTTTAACTACATCACAACATCAATGCTGTGAAAGGAACCTTGTAAAATTGAAAAACAAAATGTCACATTAACTGTTCACTGGAAGTTTATCAGTATGGGAAGAAACACTAACTCTGTAAAAGTTAATTATTAAGATAAAAATGTTTTGACAAATCTTCTCTCCGTTAAAACCACTTGGAAAAATAAATAAAAATTCACATCACTAATTTTATCTTTAACCAAATAATTAAAAATAAATAAATAATTTTATGATTTCACACACTTTTATTTCTGTATAAATAATAAGTGATGGCAAGCACATAACACATTTAAAGCTATGAGAAATATTACAAGTAGTAACAAAATTGCCAAAACCTAAAATTCTATTTAAATAAAAGAAAAAACAAAAACATCACAAAAATCTACAAGCACTACAGATAGTCTTGCAAGTCTCTTTTACCTGGAATGTGGCTGCTGGTAAATTGGAAATGGCCACATACTGCAGGTTGTTCTGTAAAGTGTAGATGAGTGAAGGAACTGCTAACTTCAGCGTGTCCCAATACTGTATGACTATAGAGTCATACAACAACGACACGAAGCTCTTCACATTACCTGCATTTACACACACACACAAATTAAAAACATCACTTGTATGATATTACTGATCCTTGACTTATATAAGATATAATTAAATTAGATAAATGTATATTACACATTTATTTGAGTATTTTATTCATTGTATTAATTATTTTATTTAAAAAGGGCTAATAAAAATAGAATTTCTCTAGAGAAATTATAACATTTTTTAATTGCAAAACTCAACATCATCATTGCTCATCTCACCATGTCAGAAGTCCTAAAACAATCCAGTATACATCTATTCCTTTTAATGCTCAGTGTAAACGTGACAGGCTGTGTAGTGTCTAGTGAACGCACCTCTCTTCTGTATAAGGATGATGAACAGACAGGTGATGACTTTAAGAACTTCTGCCATCACCACAGCCGATGTGGTGTAGAAATGATCACCCGGAAGCGTCCGCACATAGCGGATACTGAGGATGAGCGACGCATTCTGGATCACCAGAATTGCCAGACTGGTGTACTTCAGCTTCTTGTTGACTGCAAGAAACACACATATGAAAACATTTCAGTCAACAAAGAGTGGCTTCTTTTCTTTTGTTAAAAGTGTGAAAATGTAATAGAAGGATGGTGAATTTACTGATCTAAAAAACTGACGTCAGAATTACAGCGACAGTTTATGTATACCAATCCCTTATGCCATCACCTGAACACCTGTAAACAAAACCAGGACCCTGTCTTCTCTCACCACAACTACAATACACGAAAACATTATCAATTCTGAGTGTGCCACACAGGTGAGTGGGCTTGACAAACCACCTGTAGAAAACACACTCTTTCATCTCTCTGACACTTTAACTGACACTTGCACAAGGTTTTTTTGCACAAGACACTTTCTTACAACTACTCCAAATCTATACAAAAATTTTGTATTTATGATGTGAGCTTCATACAGGTGAGTGGATTTGACAAACCACCTGTATAAATCAATGATATGATTTAAAAATATAAAAAATATGGGTAATGCAACATCGCCTTTTCCCACTGAAAGCTTTGAATGCAAAATGCCACATAACTGGCACTAACTGTCACAAAAAACTGCTAAAATTGAAGCCTGGGCATGCGCAGAACGGACTACCAGACGGAGCCAGAGGTGGAGCCGTGGAGCTTCCAACCAAACGCTTGTACGTCAAATCAACCACACCCCACGAACTTCTCATTTGACAGCCCGTATCTGTACAATAACAAAGGTTCCCTAAACAAATATAAGCACTTACATTTAAAAACACGTAATAAAATATGATTTATTAATAAACTGTGTGTTGTAAGCTGTTAATAATTTAATAAAAACAATATATGTTGGACAGCAAAATAAACGATCTTTCAAACACTCTAGCCTGAGTTAGACTCAGCTATGAGCACAAAATATTTCTCTTATAACAGGTTGTTGGTATTTATTATCTTCATAGGGGTAGAACTAACATTTGTAAAATAACAATAACATAAACAAGAAAGGTTTTTATTTTTAATTAATAATCAACAGGACCAAAAATATACACATCATGGAAAGCTATTTACCATGCGAGAAAAATTGTGCGTTCATATTAGCAAAAGATAAAGCAATATTTCGAAATATCAACAGGATATTTGCACATCCCAGCTCTATATAAAATAATCCTTATCAATTTGTACAATAAGCTTTGCAGTATTTATATCTATCAGCTGCTGCAACATCGCTACTGTTTATTATTTTTTTTCTTTGCCTCCGTTTTCATTTGGTTTATTCAATGCTTTAAATCTGGCAAAGAAGAATTTACATTCATTTTAATGTTTATTAGGAGTTTTCAAATAAAAAGCCAACGGTAAATTATGTATGCATGTATGTATGTATGTGTAATATATATATATATATATATATATATATATATATATATATATATATATATATATATATATATATATATATATATATATATATATATATATATAAAACATTTACAGTTCCATTTATTACATAAGATTCTCTTTCTAGAATGTTTAATATTTTATAACAGCAATTTCAGTAGATTAACTTGATAACATGCCGAAACTCAAAATGTCAGAGATGTCCTTTAAAACAAGTTTGAATAATGTTACAGGAGATAGGCTAACATTAGTTTTGTCTTCCTAATTATTATTTCAGACCCATAAAAAGAAGTACTGCTAGATAACGATCACCTGTTTTCCCTGACATGGCTAACGTTTGGCGTGTATCAGCAAACAAAAGCCCACATTTAACCAAATAAACAGTGAACCATCAGATCCTGTATGTCAGAAAGTATAGTATACTGCTGAACTAGGGTTGTAACGGTATGAATTTTTCACGGTATGATAATCGTCTAAAACAATACCACGGTTTGACGGTTTCGCGGTATACGGTATGTTACAAATGTTACAAAATAATAGAACAGTGAAGCAAATTTGACTTTTTCCATATAATATATTTTTAGTTACTATTAACAACACCACTTACAATGAACAAATAAAAATAAGAAAATAATAAATAATGTGTCAAAGTCCAAATAAAGTCCAAATAAACATGGTGCAAATCCTCAGTAAAAAATAGATATAAATATTTACTATACTATAAATAGTTACATAACGAAACTAGATTCAATATGGAACATCCTTAGGTTCTATGTGCCAGCATGGATTTGGATATGATTGTCTGCAATGCAGACAAACAGCTGCATCTTCATTTGCGTCTTTTGAAAACAGCAAGAGCAGCAGTTCGTCTTTGCTGTGTCACTGTTTTGTCATGTTTCTGTGCTGCTGTGCATGCAAAAGTACTTAGAATGAGAATTATTTCATGCAAAACTTTTTTTTTTTGCGTTTTATTTAGCCGCGCATAAATGTATGTCTATCTCTCATTCCGTGTTGTTCAAAAAGCTTGGTCCACAAATAAAAGCGAAACCTATGCTTATTGGTTGTGATATAGCGAGTTTGAACCAATCTGGGCATGGAGGAGGGACAATGCATCAATGTATCATGTCTGATTTGTCCGGAGACACAGTGACGAGCGTTTCTTTGTCAAATCAGCGTTGTCAAATGTTGATGACGTAACCGCACTGATTCCGGAGCCTCTGAAAGTCCGCGAATGTTATGTGATACATCACTGGAAAGCTGAGATTCTCTTCTTTATGCCAATCTTTGAATTGTATGAATCGGATCAGCGGATCAAAAGTTATTAAACATTTAAGAGCAATACTTATTTTTAGTTGCGGGCGGCTGTCTCGGTCTTTAAGGGTTAAAACCGTTGATATGCAATTGTTCATGGTATGATAATCGTGCACGTTCAAATCGTGGTAAACCGTCATACCGGTATATTGTTACAACCCTATGCTGAACAACTCATTTTATCATGATAATCAGACAGAAATCTAACACTGACATTTCAATCTCCTCCTCAGTTTACAAAAATGAAGATCTGAACCTATATCAGCATGATAACCAGTGCCTCTATTGACCAAGACCATCTTTCAGGACATTTTATTGCAAGTGTAATTATTTTTTTTATTTGGGCTCAAGTCTCGTGGGTTAACATGGGGCGGGGGGGGGCTTTATGACTTGTACTGCAGCCAGCCCCCAAGAACTTCCACATTTAAGGCTGATTTATACTTCTGCATCAAGCGCATGTGTATGCTCCGGCACAGCCTACGTGTGGACGCAAAGCCCTCACCATAGCCATGAGCGTCGCTGACGCGCACCTCTCAAAAAATGTAACTAAACCAGGCTTTAGTATAAACACTCTCTTTCTCCTAACTCTATCACTTAATTCTTTGGGCACTAGGTGTTCCTTTATATAATTAGCCCATATTGTGTGAATTGCCTATTCTTGTTGAATCGCTGAATGCCTCCTCAATTGTAAGTCGCTCAGGACAAAAGCGTCTGCAGAATGACAACATGTAAATGTTTCTGAATGGCGCTAGTCAACTTTTAGCTTGTGTTTTCAGTTCAGACACACCTACTGAAGCCGGCATCAGGTGAATGTTTGCTTAGCCCTGCAGAAACACCCTGCATACAGACGCTTCATTCATCCACCACACTACTGCATAGAGAAACACTATACTAGCTCAATTTAGAAAAGCAGATCACTGGAAACTGGTATTTCTGGCTACCAAACAGGCACGATTATACTAATATTTGAATTAAATGGTATTAAAAGATTAGATGGGTAAAAAAGGACGTTTTAACAGAGATTAAAAACAGAATATCATTAGAAAAATGTAACTCTAATGACAATGAAACTCAAGTTTCTACAGACAGCTTGAACACTGCAGGCAAGATGAACCGGAATTGTGAAACTTGTGATCCTGTTTTGCCAGTTTTCGGTGTGTGCTGAAGTCTTTTTTTCTGCAAAGAAAGTCATAAATGAGAGTGACGAAGGTAATACACACCCTCTGCCACGCCGTCAAATCTCATTTAAGACACAGGAAGCATGTAAAAAGAGCTTGTCTGCAAGATGTCAATGGCTAACATAAATGTTTCTTCGCATACCTCAGTTTTACAATGACTGAGGAACGTCAAAGTACTTCAGATGAGCAAATCACTCAAGTGTTTCACCCTTGCATGGGAATTTGCGCATATAGTGCAGCTAATTAGTATGTTTTTTACTCAAAATTGGTAAATAAATAATAATAAAAAACATTAAACCAAGTTAAATGATGTGAAGTTAAATTTAGTTATTTCTATCATTAACAGTCAAAAATGTATAAAGTCTTTATTTAAATCTACATAAATATGCAGATTTATAAATATTGCTATGTTTGTTAGTTCTACATCTATTTTTTTTTTTTTTTTGAAAATGACCCTAGATTAATAAATGCTTATGGTTTGCGGAGTTTGCTGTGATCTAGAACCATCTTTTATTACAGTGGAGATATAAAAATTTACTTGAATGAATTAAGGCTGCGCAAAATGTAGTTTCAGGATTGATATTGCAATGTGAGAATCTGCAATAGTCACATCGCAGAATCTGCACTGTTGAGTTGGGATTGTAATTTACCAAAAAAACACGGATTTTACTTTAGGTCTGCATGCGACTATGCAAGATTTCAAGTAAACTTAAACCATTTGGGCTTGATAAAATGTGTAGCTTTAGCAAAGAATAATTGCATTAAATTATTTCTACAATGAAGACTATAGTAGTCAACATTTGAAGTGCATCAATAAAGTTTTTCAAGACAAGAATGCATGTTGTTGAATAGTTTTATAAAAGGTTTTAGTGTTATTTTACGTTTGATTCTTTATTTTCTTTGTCTCAATATTGTTAGTCTCCAGAAAACCATAAAGCCCTTTTTATTTAATTTGTATATTTGTTTTGATTAAATTCACGCTTGTATTTTTGCTTATTATATTTTACGCAGGTGCAAAATCATCACAATCTATTTAAAATGGTGAATTATTTCCAAATAGAATTATTAGTCATATTGTGAAATTCTATTCATATTGCATTATATATCACAAAAAACTAAATATCTCAATGAATATTTCTAATATCATGCAGCCCTAGAATTAATAGTTTTTTTTTTATTTTATTTAAATTAGAACGAAACATAGACGAAGCGTTACCTTTATTACAAGGTAAACAAGGAATAGTGCAAAATGGTGAAAATAATGAAAATAGTGGCATATTTCGCTTTTTGATTTAAGATTAAGATTCAGTCTCTACAAAAAAACTACCCTCACAAACAAAAATAAAAAAGAACTGTAACAATATACAACATAATAATGTGATGACAATAATATTGTAGAAATAATTAGAAATAATTAAATGCAATTACTGTTATAATAATAACAGTGCTTTTTTATATTTACCATGATACCAAATGCCATGATAGAAGTCGTTTTGACAATTAATCTATAACCTGTACTAGTATCTATTTTCAAGCTACTAGTGCTTATTTTTTAGATACTAGTATCTAGGGCTGTGTTATTTGGGGAAAATATCTAATTGCGATTTTTATAACAGATATGGCGATTTCGATATAATTTTGTAGTCTTGTCTAACAAGTAAGCACTAGTATATTTTTTAAAAGCACTAGAATCTTAAAAATAGGTGCTGGAATCTAATAAATATAAACTAGCATCTAATGAATCAGGCTTGAACTTAAGATATCACTGTTGCTATTGTACATTCATAACAATTAGCAAAATATAAACGAAAATATTTGCAATGTAGTGGCTTTACGAAAGAAGTTCCCACATTTTGTGGGGGAAGAACCATAATAGTTTGCTAATCATCACTGTCAAGCTCATATACCATGGTAATTCAAGAGATTTAACACCACGGTAACTTCTACATTTACATTTAAGAAATGCTTACAGATGACAGCACAATAGCACCGTGATACTATGCCGTGTATTTATATAGTACTACTTGTGGTATAAGCATTTTATATGAACAGAAGAAATATAAAAATATTATAATGTGTTTTAACAGTGATGAATGTGTAATTTGGACGGTAACTATGGTTACCAAGGTACATTTTCGGCACAGGTTCATTTACATCTTCGATTTATCTGATCTGGCAACCAAAGAATCGAGACCTTAAGCCTGGCGTTTAAAAAAAGAGCAACACGGGGAATAAAATGATGTTTATTACCTTCATTCTGTCTTCGGGAGGATGTTTTGTCTTCACTGTTTCTGTTTGGACTCTCATTGCCCGCTGCTGCCATCATCATCATCAAACATCAACCCGATTCTGCCCACAAAAGTCACACGATCTGTGATGATTACCGACTTTAACGTTAATTTCCCCGCCGCTCCTCCATGAAGCGGCTCCCGGAGTCGGTGAACGAGGTGAGAATGATCAGAGGTGCTCGAGGAAAAGTGTTGACGTCCCCAAACACACAAGCACTTCCTGGTCGCGTCCGTCCGAGAGAAGCGACCAATCAGACTTCTTCACTTCTTCTTCATTTTCCCGCGTTCTGGACTCACGAAGCGAATAAGCGCGGCCTGAAGACTCGGAGCAGACAAAAATAGCATAATAAAAGCACCACGTAAATACTTAATACGGTAATAATACACCAAGCAGCGAGGTATTTATTTGTTTTATCAACATATTTTAAAAGTAGTCATTTAGTTTATCTGGGTCCACCAACAGTTAAAGTGAAAGCAGCAAGCGTGTGCCCGTCTGGTGGGGGGGGGGGGGGGGGGGGTTCTTTTTTTATCAAAAAGTGGACTATTTTGCAGTTATACGCCTCAGTTTCCATTTGATTATGAGATTTAAATACTGCATTTTAGTATTTTTTTGCTGGATTAGCTAATTAGATGTCATCATAACCACACTTTTTGATGTACAAAAATATTTCCTAAAAATTGCAATAAAACTTTTTTTAAATAAGACTAATTTTTAAAATACACATTTATTACAGCATATATCATTAGGAAAAAATATCAATCTGTTAACGTTTTAAAGTGAAAAAAACTACTACTACCATTTATTAGACAAAAACAAACTGGCCAGCACATTCAACTGTCCTCAATCACAATTTGGCCATTTCAATAAAAAATAATAATTAAAACATAATAATAATAACAATAATAATAATAACAATAATAATAATAATAATAATAATAATAATAATAATAATAATAAAACAATAATAATTCATTCTTCAGTATTTGTCTAGCCTCTTTGATAAAAAAAGTAAATTTTCTAAAAACCTGGAAATCAACACTAGCCCAAATATAATTAAATTAATTTAATATGGTGCGCTTCTGGTGCTTCACATCTTTTTATTGCTCATTTTTATTTAATAAAAAAGGTCCAAGATTTATAATAAAGTTACCTTTTTCGATGGATTATTTTCATTATTTATGATGGCATCGCAGTCAAAATAGGACAAATGAACTCATGTATGGGACAAATTCTGGACCTTTGTCAGTGAGCGTTGGGTCTTCTGAACCCCCCTGGCTTCAGTCCTGAAATGATGAAACATGTTTCATACTTATAGTTTTATGCTTATGGTAAACCTGTTTTTAATAGAACTGTGGCTGTTAAAGCGCACCTACAGGTGTTTCAGCCGCAGGTCAGATTTTCTCAAGGTCATCATTTATTTTGTTTGTATTAATTTTTTCTAAAAAATTATTATATCTGTCCAGTTTCATCTGGAATGCTTCCCAGATCACCTTCTGAAGTGGTTTGAGCGATGTGATGCCAAACAGCCTCAAAAACACAGACGTGACGGTAATATATATTGAATATAAATATATTAATTATATAATAAATATATTATATAATATTAAATCACATAGAAATAATTAAAAGGACAAATGCTGGACCTTTTGGCCGTAGAGGGTGGTTAGTAGCAAGTAACCTGCTATTAGGTTATGTGACCGCTAGATGGCGATCTTGGATAATAAGAAGCTCACCACAAGTTTGTCAGAGTGTGCTAGCCAGGCTTACTTTCTGTTCTATTAATGTCCCGCTTTTGTCTTTAATTATATTCGTCTGTCTCCATATTCTACTGCATCCCAGAATATTACACAGCACCAAACATGTAAAATATATATTCAGTAACGTTATATATAATATGCTTTTGTCCACAGTCCACTGCAACTCGCAGTGACGAAGATTCCCGAACCTGTGTGCTCCAATGAGATGTGCTCTCTTCAGCGCTAACCATGACAACGAGACTCACAGCAGTGACGTCGCATTGTAAACATTTGCATCTGCATTCCTATAAAGCTCGTCGGTTCTCTCTCAGCGTTGTCAGTTCGCTCGGTGTTGCTGTTTGTACCAAGGTGAGTTCAATACCTGACGGTTCGAGTGGAGCCACGCCAATCTCACAAAGTCCGCTTCGTGAAGCTTCACTCGGGCCCGTCTGTGCTGTAGTTCCTTGCGGTTTGCGTACATAAACGCAATATCGCAAAGAATATTACATGTTTGTTGCTCGAAATGTGCCGTCGAGCAACATTCCAGTGAACCCTGGCACGGACTGGCGCCCGAGTACGTTAGCTTGTGCAATCCCTGGGGTGAGGCGGCTTGTGAGCCCTAGGCAGGGATCAATAGAGTGGAGGAACTATGACGTCAATTTGTATGCAAAAACCCGGAAGCGAGTTAGCATTTTAGCACTTCCGGTTCCCTCGTCCCAAAGTCAATGGGTTTTTTGAATGGGGTTTCAGTAAAATCGCTCAAATAAGGTCCGTGGCCAACACCAACTCAATATACTTTCACGTTTTGTTCTACGACATAAAACACATCAGTTACAGCACACTCATCAACTTTTAAATCGATTATGCTTCTTTAAAAAGACGGTTGCTATCAAGTTGCTAAATGAGACTACAGGCGGCGTCGGGGGCATTATACGTCATCGAGCTGATCTGGTCTGGAGCGCAGCTCGCTTGGGCGTTTGGATTTGTCTGTGATTTAAGTATTTTCAGAATAGTATTTTATAGTTTGTTGTATTATTCTAATTGAGAATTCAGATTGTGTGTAGATAATTCCTTCACATGTAAAGGCTGTCAAAAAAGATTCATTTGTTGATCATTCATTTTAATTAAACGATAATATGAAGATACTGCTCAGTTTCTTTCCTGCTCTCAGTAATGCAAACGTGTGAATAAATGTGTAAAAATACATGCATGTTAACTGTCATTTTAACGTGATCAAGTGATTTCTCGTCTTTTTTTCTTCATCAACACATTTAACTCTGCCATAACTGCAATATTTACACTCCTCCATAAAACGTATAGCAGATGTGACTGTATTGGGCTGTTTTTCGCTGTACTTCGTGACACAAAAGGAATATTAAATGTTGTTCTGTGTCCATAATGATGAAACCTGCAGGCATTTGATAGACTTGTTCCTCCTCACGCCGTCGTCTGTTAAGGTAAGCGGGCTGTGTGCACGCGAGCGATACACTTATTTAAATATGTCTCATAATAATACTATATAGGCACATTTATTCACATTTTTTAAACTTTTAGAACAACCGCAAAGCAAAGCATGTATTTCCCACGTAAAAACGATCCAAAAGGCACAAAGGTCTATGTGTGTTTGCGTATTTATTAGTTTATAATATATAGCGTGGATTACAATATAATATACTGAGAGATTAACTCTTTGTCATGGACGTTATTTCTAAAAATAAGCTTGATAAGTCGTCTGTAGTAGGGTGGCGCTGACGTCACTGACGAGCGCCCCGAGGGCGCTGTAGTCCGTTTATAGCCTAATGTTAGCTTTTCAAGTCTTGCGTTTGCATTTAAGATCCAAAAGTGCTCAATGTTATATTTTCGTGTGACAATTATCCGGCTGAACAAAACGTGTAAGTGTAATGAACAGTGTTTGAACACAGAGCGTATTATTCGCAATCTTCGAAAACCCTATGGGAAAATCCTATAGGGATTTTCACGAGGGAACCAGTTTTATGCTAGCAGCCGATTAGCCTACAAAGTGACGTCATAGTTCCTCCACTCTATACAAGCCCCGAGGACCTTCAGGGAAACACGGGAGGCCGGTAGTGGGACCCCGCTGCGAGGGTTATGGTATGGTAGGTGGGAGCAGCGGGGCCCACTCATTGTCTATTCTAAACTATAGTTTCAAACTTTAGTTTACTATAGTTTAAAATAGAAACCATGGAAACTGTAATAATTTAACTGTATGTGTGGCTGTTGTAATGTTTTGCTTTGTTTTTCAGCAAAGCTGTTGAGCAAAGAGGGACTACTGAAGACAACCGCGGGTTTTATTCATGAGCGTGTGCATTATAATGTTTCCGTATTGATTTCTGAAAGTTTATCTTGTTAACATAAGTTTGCATGTTAAACAAAATAAAGTATACTCTTTCTAAACACCTGTCTCGTGTTTTATTTGTCCTCTATACACTGCAATACACTGTCATATAAGTCAGTTGAATGCATTTGTATGCAACATGGTTTGACAATAAAGTAGTCTAACAAATAAATGGTTGTTATAAATGTAGTCAACAATTGGTGTAGTGTAGGTAATAAAAAGTTACTCAGAGATGTGCTAAGACACAATGGTAATGTAATGGTTGTTACATAGGCTAACTGTTTTAATTATTACTCTGTATGTTTAAAACCAGCGGATTATACTATATATTTAACATGTCATGAACTTATTAAAAAAAATGCTTATTAAAAATGTCCTAACACAAGAATGGGTATTGTTTTGGTTTTATGTTAAACTACTGTAGGTTTTAGGTTGACTACAGCAGGTATAGGCTACCTATATAATAATAATGGTACTCAGTTATTTTAATGACCCAAATTAAGTAAAATGTCTCTTACTCAAGTACTTTTAGCATGCAAAAATCAAATTTAAGTATATAAAATAGTTTCCAACAACACAATTTTGTCTTGTGAAAATGACCAGTGGGGTGGTGAGAAAAAAAGTTAATGTCAAGTTATAAATATATATATAAAAGAAGTTGAACAAGTTGCCATAATATTTAATCATAATGCATTTTTTATATACATTTCCATAAGACTTTTTTTTTCTAAATCTATAATTGGTACATTGCTCCCAGGTCAATCGGCACTTTGTCTAATGAAGGTGAGCTGTATCTGAAGTGAGATTGTTTTATGTTCACATTTCTACTTTTGTTTTGGTTTTTTCTTTGTCCTATGCAGTGCTGTCTTTTCCTTTCTGTATCACGATGACATGATCTGGCAACAAATCACAGTACAAACAGCACATAAATTAATAAATTAGCCATAGCTTACACGAGAACATCTCTCCAGAGTAAAGTTATATTGACAACATGAGTAAGTCATTTGACTGTCTTATCCTAATACAATGACACAAGGACTTTTCATTCTGACGGCACTGACATATTGAGAGATGAGCTAAGGATTTTAAGAAACTGGCTTTTGCAGTCCATCCATGCTGTTTACTATTTGTATGTGCTGTTTTGAAAAATGCACTTGTTTTGTAAATTTAAAACCTGAGAAATGTACCAAAGCGACTGAGATAAACTGGATTACAACACAATTTAATGCAAAGATGAAAAGTCTGCAAAGAAAAAAGTGTGTATTTTTATTTGCACATATTCTTTTATAAAAAATGTGTATACATAATTGAGTTTTACATTTTTTGGCTTAATTTTTAATACTTTACAGTCTACTCATTTTGATGTAACCATGATAGTACAAAAAAAGAAGAGAGTCATGTATTGTAAAACAGATATTTATAAAAATCCATAGTGGAACTGAACATCACAACCATGGTTTCTGCAGGTGTCAGTCACTATTTCAAGTTTATGGGCTATTCTTCAACTACGGGCACTTTTAGCCTTGTGAAGTTGATCAAAAAACACTTGTTTAAAATTAATAGTCCTAATAAGTTTAAACAATTTATCTAGTTTTAAGATCTGTAAGAGGACAAACTTAGATAAGAAGAGAAGGATTTTTTTCCCTCGTGAACTGAACAAATGTCAATTCCACCACATCTCAATACACAGCTTTTTTTTTTAAATGAAATAAATGATGGCAGTCAAACATTGTCTAAGATCATTTTGTATCTATTTTAACCAATATTATATATATATATATAATTACACATTTGTCAATGAAATAAATGAGTTGCATGCTAAGGATGTTTTAATTGGGGTTCCCAAACTTTTTAGCCCCCAAGCCCCTAATGAACAATGCTGATGACTAGCGACCCCGACATTTATCAGCAGTGGTTATAAATAGACAAATGTTGCACACAACAATAGGCCTATATTGGCAACACAAAAAAGTGCAATAGTCTAAACAATCATTTTTTATATAATCATTAATTTATATAATCATTTATTCATTTGTTTAATTTAATATTAACCTAACATCTATAAGCCTGGTGGACACCATGTTTTTAGCACAAGTCTATTGTTTCATTTTGGAGATCGTCCTCAATGTTCGGTTGTGGCCTGCATTGTCAATGTATTTGATTACCATAAAGGAGTCAGAAAGTTTAACCTGGTGCTATAAAATTAGTCTGTGTTGTTGATCTAACGTACAATCTAATCTAATACAGGATCCTGTGATAAAACATGTAAAGGCTGATGGCTTTTTATTTGCATGTTGTTGCTTTTTTATGTAATTATTAGCTACTATTTTATCTACTGTGGGTTATGGATAAAATATGGTCATTCTAATAGTTTAATAAAATTTATTTGACTTTTGGAAATCACCTGGCTACCCCCTGTCATTGTTCCGCGATACCCACTTTGGGAACCACTGGTTTAGATTATTACTTGCCTCTTCAAAAAACAAAAAAAAACAATTAGTTATCTCTTAGCCACATATTTTAAACAATGTGCCAAAAACAGGCAAACCCTAGTTGTATACATACACGTTTCTTAAACTTTTTTTTTTTTTTGAAAAGCTTTAAAGAACTATGTTAAACTAAATGTCTTGTAAATGTAAATAATATCATGTAAATGTCCTTATCATATTTGGCATTGTTCCATATATTCAAGTTTATTTGTATAGCGCTTTCAAACAATTATATATAGCAGCTTTACAAAAGTTACACATTATTGCATTACAATCAGATTTTAAATAGAGTCTGATTGTCAGTGATTGGATGTTAATTGGCCTAATTGGGAAGCTTTACATGAACATTTGCTAAAGATTTGTTTGTTTTATGCATATTGTAATACAGCACATTTTCCCAGTATCATGCAGCCGTTTTCCAAACAAGTATTTACAGTGAAACAGTTTTGCCAACCCAAGCAATACCGTAAGAACTAGTTTCGCTCGACTTCTGCATCATGATGATGAACAGACAAGAGAAGACTTTGACAATCTCAGCCATCAGGAAAGCGGCCGAGCCCAGAAAATGATCTTCAACCAAATTCCACACAAGGCGGATGCTGAGGATGAGCGAAGCGTTCTGGATCACCAGAATCAGCAGGCTGATCAGCTTCACCATCTTAACTGCATGACACACACACACACACACACACGCACGCACGCACGCACACACACACACGCACGCACACACACACACACACACAAAAGTGTTAAAAACATTTTATAATATACCAATACTATACATACTATATAGAGTCGATGTCATAATTATTAGTTAGGACTTATTAAAGTTAGGACAATTCTATGGGCCCATACATTTAGGGGGGCCCCAGAGACATTACGAATGACTCAGCACCCTATTTGATAGGTATTTTGCTTACCAGTTAGCTTTTAGGCAGATCACCTACTGCACCTTTAAACTGATGTCACACTAAACCTCCAATCTGTCAGAAATCAAAATATGGCATTTACATATGGTCAATAATACAGTAGAACTTATTGTGGTATTTTCAGTATTTTTTGCTGGTATGTTTTGGAGGGGCTTAAAAAATAAACCATGTTATTCTTGAAAGTACCTTTTAGACCTTTGAAAAAGTACATAATTTATGGCATAAAGACACACTGAAAGGGAAGTTTTCAATCATCAAAACAACAAATCATTTAAAAGACACCAAATTTCCCCTAAAATGCCATTCAGTGTGACAATAAGTTTATATCTAAAAATATTCTATGTATCTTAATTTATATCCTAAATAGGAGGTCTCATCACTGCAATTTATTTGTATCTTTTTATTTTTTGACAACCAAAGAGTGCTTAAAGAGCCCATATTATACATGAAATAGGGTCATATCTTGGTTGTAAGGGTCTCCAACAACAGTCTAATATGCATGCAAGGTCAAAAAACACTTTCATGGTCTTATAATCTGCATTTATTTTTACCTAATTATCCCAGCGACTCCTGTATGAATCGTCCAGTGATTCATTTGTTCCCAAACCCCTCCTTAGCGCGGAGCTAATCTGCGCTGATTGGACCGATGACAGTCTGTCGCGATTGGTCGACTGCCTTCAGTCAGAGAGGGAAATGGCCAATAGCTAATCAGCAATTTAAAAAGTAATCACAGTTCATACACGCTCGATAGTGTAGGCGTGGATTTTAGCTGCCACACTATGGCGAGTGGATAGTGCCACGGATAACCGAACGAAGGAGACAGTCGTGTACTCGCCATACCACACACACACAAAAACACACACACACCTCCGGATGACAACGCTCCCGCTTCCGCCCGCACCCGCCAGGTTTTAGCCTGAGAACCCGCTCCGTTTTCTGCCCGCCGCGCCCGATCCCGCTAGAGCGGAGGAGAACACAACCAAAAATCACCCAGTATACAGTCCAGACAGCCAAGCTGTCTGTATAAACACACACACACAGCACAAAGCACACAAAGCTCGTTCGCTCTCTCTCTCTCTCTCTTTCTCTCTCTCTCATACGCACGCGTGCGCACTAACACACACATAAGCACCAAGCAGACTCTCTCTTCTAATTCGCATAGCAATATCCGTGATATTGCTAGACAGCCCGCTCCCGTCCCAAATTAAACCCGTTACCGACCGCTCCCGCGATTTATTCGGAAATTTATTCCCGCGGCTGTCCCCGCGCCAGATTTCTGCGCCGCGGGAATAAATTTCCGAATAAATCGCGGGAGCAGAACTCTAGCACGGAGCTCCATAAACAAAGCAGCACGCGTCGCGTTTTTAACGTGACTTTGCACGCGATAAGAGAATATATCCAGTTAACCTGATACAGTACACGCGGTTACAAGTAACAAATCACAACTAAATACATTTGCAAGCTAGAGTAAACGAGGCAACAACTTTAACCGCACGTACTTACACTTGAGAAATGGAAGAAACCCATCCTGACGTCCATCAGTTACTCTTTACTGATCCTTCCTTTAACAAACTCAGATGAAGTATTCTTTGTAGCATGTAGCTTCCAGAAGTTTCCAACTGCTTGGTTATAATGCTGATGTTTCATCTTTGGGTAGAGACTCAATATAATATCCATCTGCAGTGTGACTTCAATCGACCGGCATGTTTGTGTGCATGTGTTTGTGGGTGTGCGTGTGTTTGAGGGCGGGGCCTCAGGTTTGAAATCTCCCGGGTTTGCGCGTGCACGTGAATAACTTGGTTTCGTTCGTACGTCATGGCGGAACACCTAATGAATCGGTATCAAGGCGACTCGTTTGAAGCACTATGAGTCGACTCTTTTATAGATGAATCAACCGTTTTAAACACTGTATTCTTACAGATTTAAGCCTTAGCTGGATACTTCACTTCACTTAGAGCTGTGTTACACACTACATGGAGGGGAATTTTCAAAAACCCATAATATGGGCTCTTTAAACAGTCAGAAGTCTAAAAAGAGAGAGAAACTTGCTATGCTTAGCATAGTACAAGGTTTATTGGATCTGGCAACCAAAGTATCGAGTCCTTAAAGAGATAGTTCACCCCAAAAATGTAAATGCACTCACCATTTACTGACCCTCAAGTGTTTCATGAGCTGCTATTTTCTGCGGTATTTCAGAATCTTCGGTTACCATTTACATTAAGACAAACAAACACTAAGTCAATGGTGACTTACAACATTTTAAAAATAGCCTCATTTGTGTTTAACAGAAGAAATAAATTGAAATTGGTTTGTTACAAGTGAAGGCTAAGTAAATGATGACAATATTTCCTTTTTTGGGAGAAGTATCCCTATTAGCAGTTTGAGACGTTTGAAAAAGAAAAAAGGGTGAGGATAAAATGACGTTTCTTACTTTCATTCTGTCGTCGGGAGGATGTTTTGTCATCAAAGTTTATTTTTGGACTCTCATTGCTTTCTGCTGCCATCATCATCATCATCAAACACCAACCCGAATCTGCCCACAAAGCTCACACAATCCGAGTTTACTCACACGGAACCAAAAAAGCGGAACGAACAAGTATTTTTGTCTTGCTTAAAACAAACCACTAGAGGGCTCAAAAACCCTATAAATTCTGATTTTTCTGAGAAATTCTGAGAAATTCTAATTTTACGACGTTTCCTAAAGCGATAGTTTACCAAAATAAAGATTCTGTCCATTTTCTCACTCTTTACTTAGTCCAAACCTTTTTGAGTTTCAACTGTAGAATACAAAAGACGATATTTTGAAAAATGTTTATAAGAGTAGTGACTTCCATAGTATTTAGGTAACACTTTACAATTCATGCTACTGGCATTACCTGCCGATATAAACTGTTCATAAAGTATATCAGTTATAAAATATGATCTTATTCTGCACCCCTAATCTTACCCAAAACATAAACTTATACCTTACTAACTATTAATAAATGGCTAATTAGCAGTTTATTAGCTAGTAGTGTTAGTTAATGATTTGTTAATACCAAACCTGTTAATACTGTTTTGTTCTACTATGGATGTCAGGGGTTACAAATTTCCAAGAAGACAGAATTTTCCTTTTTGGATGATGTTAAAATAAACATAAAATGATGTTTCTTACCTTTTTTTGTTCTCCAGAAGGATGGTTTTTCTTCAGTCCCTGAGGAAAAACCCCCCCCAACTTAAACCAGCCTAAGCTGGCTTGTTTTAGCTGGTCGACCAGCCTGGTTTTACAAGGGGTTTTGGCCATTTCCAGACTGGTCTGAGCTTGTCAGGATGGAAAATGACCAGCTAAAACCAGCTTGACCAGCCTGGTGTAAGCTGGACATAGCTGGTGTAAGCTGTTTTTTCCAGCAGGGGTGTTTCTGTTTGGACTCTCACTGGTTTCTGCTGCCATCAACATCATCAAACATTAACCCGGATCTGCTCACAAAACTCACACAATCTGGGTTGACCCCCCTAATAAACGCCCCTGGAGGACATCAAAACAAGGTGTGTGTGTGTGTGTGTGGGGGGGGGGGGGGTCAGTCCTGTAATAGTGAGAAATAACTTTCTCCTGTATCTTAAATATTAATAATTAAAATTTTAAAATATAAATGCACATTGGCCTATACCGGTGCATACCATTGTGAATGCAATATTGCACCAATCAATGCAAGGACAAATATCATTAAACAGCCTGAAACTGGCAGTTCTCGAGCACAGATAGACATCTTATGTATCTACAAACACATTTCTTGTAAATAGGTGTTTGTATCTGCATGTAGCTTAAAAAAAGTAAAATTAGACACATCATTTGTATAGTTTGACCGATAGTAACCTCTAAAATAGTCACTAAATATCCTTCAAAAGACTAATAATGTATACATTATATTAATAAATTAGGTGCAATTTAAATACATTCAGAAATTTGATTCACTGAAGCATGTCACCAAACCACTACTAAAAAAATTGATATGACCACCCCTATAATGCATTATGCCATTGTGAATGCAATAAATCTAAGCCGATAGACATGGTAAGTGTTCACAAAACACTTTTCTTGAAAAATAGGTGGCCTAAAAGTAAAGTAAAATTAGATGCACAGTTTGTTTGACCAACCTACCTCTGAAATGGCTAACCACAGGATATTGTAGGCCAGAATACACAACCCACACAACACTGAAACATTAAATATGCTGCATTAAAAAAATAGATGTCATTTAATTTGATTCACTGAATTCACCCAAATTTGACCTTACTAACTATTAATAATCAGCTAATTAGTAGTTTATTAAGCTAGTAGCGTTAATGATTTGTTACTATCGAATTGTGACCTAAACTAAAGTCACAGCTCGTTTTGTTTTACTGTGGATGTCAGAGGTTACAAGTTTCCAACGCTGACAGAACTTCCTTTTTGGCAGAACTGTCCCTTTAAGCAGCCTTATCTATTTTAAAGGAGAAAAAGTGAGGATAAAATGATGTTTCTTACGTTCATTCAGTCTTCAGGAGGATGTTTTATCTTCAGTTGCTGCCGAAAAAAAAAACTGCTTAACCAGCCTAAGCTGGTTGGCTGGTTTTATCTGGTCGACCAGCCTGGTTTTAGAGGGGGGTTGGCCATTTCCAGGCATTGTCTTGGAAAATGACTAGCTAAAACCAGTTTGACCAGCCTGGTGTAAGCTGGACATAGCTGGTGTAAGCTGTTGTTTTCAGCAGGGGTGTTCCGGTTTGGACTCTCACTGCTTTTTGCTGCCATTATCATCAAACATCAACCTGAATCTGCCCACAAAACTCACACGATCCCAGTTTATTGACACGGAACCAAAAAGTATGAATGTCTTTCTTTACACAACCACTAGATGGCTTCACCACCCTATAAATTCAGCATATCAGCAAGTTTCCTAAAGCGATAGTTTACACAAAATAAATCCGACAAGGTTTACTCACTGGTCACTTGTTCCAAACCCGTTTGAGAACAAAAGTAGATATTTAGAAAAATGTTGTAACCCCAGTATTTGGTTAACACTTTAGTTTAAGTCACAATTCATGCTACGACTCGCTTATTACCTGAATATTATTAGGATATAACCGGTTTATTAGAAGTTCTTAGTATGATCTTATTCCGCATCCATAATACTAACCTAAACTTAACTTCAACCTTACTAACTATTAATAAACTGCTAATTAATAGTTTATTAAGCTAGTAGTGTTAGGTGATAAAGGTTTGGAACCAATTGAGGTCGATTAAGGTAGATTACCCACAAAGTAAAATTTCTCTGGCTCAGTTCTGGTCCCCACAATCAGGTGACCTGATTGGTAGAATTTTTTCTTCACTTAAAAATTATATTCATGTATTTTAAATGTCAGTCAAGACTGGACAAACTAACGTGGCCCACATATCAATTTGTAACATCTGGGCCATATCACATTTTACATCTGGCCCAAATCTTGTGCACCGCCTTAAAGTCGCTGCCACCTCTGCCAAACCCGGGCCATGTTTGGCCTACATGCTGTATGCCAGTGCCGGATGAATGCCTGCTGTGCCAGCTTTATGCCAAACCTAGGCCAGAATTCTTTGCTACAAGGGTAGTAAGAGTAAATGTGATCTTTGGGTGAACTATCACCTTAAATAGATTCATGGATATGTTTCATTAATTTAATAGGTAACACTTTATTTTGATGGTCCATCTGAGTATTAGTAGACTGTCTGCTTAATATTTGTTGATTCTGCTCCTTCAACAGACATTTAACTGACTATCAGTAACTTTGCAAGGGCATGTCAACTTACACTAACCCAAACCCCAACTTAACAGTCTACTTACAATCTAATGAGAATTAGTTGGCATGTAGATGTAATGTAACTTAAATTCAACAAACAGACCATCAAAATAAAGTGAATGTGATAGAAATGGACCTGAACACAGTAACAGGTGTTTACTGCTCCAGCCAGGTATCAGTTTCAGGTAAACTAAATCTAGTCATGTGGGAAAATCTGCTCTGTCATTATAGTGAAGCATGTGAACGTAGTCAAAACATTCCAACAATTCTTCACCTGTCGGGAACAGCTAACCTGAAAGGTCTGACTGGCAAGTCCTGTTTAATTTCCCACAAACAGGAAAGTATGAACAGATCTTCACATCTTGCGATGCAGAAGCAGCATCTCTTTTGTGTTCTCTTTGCATATAAAAGACGAGACAGATATGTATTTAAATATAGACGTTACATCTATAACTTTTTATTTGTAGAATCTCTTAAATTAAACATCACGTGACAGCGGCCACATCACATTATTCAATACACAAGTATTTACAGGAAAGCTTTTGTGCAAACCCAAGCCAAAAATGCAAGGATTTGAATAACAAAATCAAAGATTTCTGACGTTATCAAAAATAAAAACACAAAATTTCCCCAGTGTTTACACAAACTCACGACACGTTACATTGAGAGAGATCCAATTCACGATCATTTTAATCTTTCAGTCTTGCTTTGGATCACAAAACGCAAGCCACACTAACAAACAAATAAATAAATTTAGGTCCAAATTGTGTGTATTATGCATATAAACCTAAGGCAGAGCTCTTTGGTGTGTTATAATCAACTGATCGGAACTGCTCACTTTTTAGTAAACATCAACAGTGGGTTAGTAGGTGAAGCCCCTAATATGACACTCTGACCTTTGGGAACTTCCACACTTCAGAGCGTGTGCATGACAAAGAGACAACACTTAAAGTCACAGGTCAGGTATTTCACAAGCAACAACAACAGAAACCAAAACCCTCTTTGGCTAACATCTCTGAGGAATCAGGATTGTTAATTTAGAGTAAACAAGGATGCTCCTCTTCTCTTAGTTTCGAGTGCGTGTTGATCAATGGGAGCAGATCTTCAATTATTACCATCACTTGGAAAGGAGATCCAAAGTCTTTCTGAAACCCCTTAGAACGGGGGGAGAATATCACTGTACAGAACACACCTGTAAAACCAGGTATCACCGCAGTCTGAGAAGAGACCGCAAGTCCACCCACTGTCATTTAAAGGGGATCATTCACAACATTTACTCACTATCTACCAAGCTGCTTTAGGGGTTTCATCCACAGTAGGAAAAACAAACACTATGGAAGTCAATGGTTACCGGTTTCCAGCATTCTTCAAAGTATCTTCTTTTTGGTTCTACTGAAAGGTCAAACAGTGAGTAAATGATGTTTTTGGGGTGAACCATCCCTTTAAATGAGTTGAAATGAACTAATAAATCGAACACAGTTTACTGCCTCGGAAACTTGGTGATCCAAAGAGTGCAAAAAATAACTTAGTATGTTTCTGGATTATAAAATAAATAGCAATAAATAAGAAAAACGTTCCCCTCGCTGAGCTGCGATGGAAATATTCATTCATAAAGTAAAACCTGCAGCAATCCAGGGCTATTTTCGTGGGTTGTGGAAGCACAGATCCCCACTAAACGGATGTCAAAGACAGAAGAACTACGGAGAAAATAAATAAGGAAGAATCCGGAAGCCAGCAACTCGAGTTCGGAAAGTCCAGTGTAAATCGAAACAGTGAGTCCAAAGTCTTTTTGGGATTCAAAGGCTTGGCTTGATTTTGCTTTCCTCTTGCAAATCTCCATTGTCCACAGAGCTCTCCATCATCCAGGGGTGCTGCAAAATCTGCTCCAAACTGGGCCGATCCCCCGGATTGAATGAAAGGCACGAGCAAATCAGAGACCGGCAATCTGAAATCAAAGAGAGCACATGTTGAGTACACGTGGACATGGTCTTGTTTACTGTCATGTTTCTCTAGTCAACAGGTCTCAAACTGGATTCCTGATGGGCCGCAGCTCTGCACAGTTCTGCTCTAACCCTAATCAAGCTGTTCAAGAGTACTAGAGACTATTAGGCAGGTTTGGGTTAGAGGTGGCTGGAGCTAAACTATGCAGAGCTGCATAGGAATTGAGTTTGAGAGCACTGATTTAAGCACTTTACAAGTCTGGCAAATGACATATTTACATGCATACACACACACACACACACACACACACACACACACACACACACACACACACACACACTTCATCACAATATATCAGATGACGTTTGTTATAGTATAGCATCCTGAGGAAATTTGAAAACTGCTCACATTTGCTCTCTTTATTAAGATTTAATTGAAATATTTCTGAGATTTTATATAATATAAAAAATATTATATAATATATAATATATAAATATATAATTTTTAAGTAAAAACAGTTTATATATTATCATCACCTATCTAGTAAGATCAATTATTAAAACAAAACGTTTTACAATTCAATTTTCAGTCAGTTTTAATCCCTTTTTCAAACACAGTATTTAATTTCAAGCATTTTTCAAGCATTTCCAGCACCTGTATGAACTATGCTACTATGAATATTGCTTGTAAATGCATACATGTTCTTTATTTTAGGTTTAAAAAGAAAGTTAGCATACTTTGCAACTAGCATCACTTCCATAATGTGAGGCATTAACATGTTAGGCAGTGCTTTACTGTGTTTTACACACAGAATCATAACCAATTAAATAAAAAATGTTAATGTTTTACCCAAAAATAAATATGTACACTATATTTACTCACCCACATGACTTTTAAGAGCTTCATTTTTCTGTTGAACACAAAAGAAGAAACTTTGATGAATGTTGGAAACCGGTAACCATTGACTTCTATAGAAGGAAAAACAATTGAAGTCAATGGGTACTGGTTTCCAGCAGTCTTTAGTATATCTTCTTTTGTGTTTAGCAGAAGAAACTAGGACTGGGTGATATGGCAATTAATGTTATTTCGATAATTATTAAATGATAACGATATACATTTTGATATAAGTTGTTAATGCTTCCAGATTTAAAAGAGTACCCAACAATGACTGAAGCCACAAATATTAGAGGGTCCATTAAATGGCATTACATTTTCGTCCAGCAAATTTTCAGTGGCCAAAAATTTGGTTCCTAGATTAATATATAGAGTAAAAAAAAATCCAGAACTTATTGTTATTGACATTAATTTTATAGCGATCCGATATAATATAGTTTATCAGCCCAGCCCTGGAGGAAACTCAAACAAGTTTGGAACAAGTGAGTAAATAATGATTGAATTTTTTTAATTTTAAGACCGCTTGGGGGCTCACCATTGGAGATGCGTTTATTGAAGCTTGGTTTGGCCTTTACAATGTCAGTGTCCTGCTCAAAGGGAATGTCTCCACACACCATATCGTACAGGAGGACACCCAATGACCACACAGTGAGCGGAAGAGCGTGGTATTTGTGGTAAAGGATCCACTCAGGTGGACTGTAGACTCTGGTACCTAAAGAGAAAAAAGGGGTCTGTTAGAAACACATCCACACTTATTTAAATACAGTTGAATTATTATGTTTTTTAATATTTCCCAAGTGCTGGTTAACGGAGAGATTTAATAGTCTATTTGATCTAGTATTTAAAGACTTAATTTAATAGTCTACACATAAATGCTTTAATGACTAATTTATAATAACTGATTTCTTTTGTCTTTGCCATGATGACAGTACATAATACTTCACTAGTTAATACGCAAGATATTTAGTGTTCAGTTTAAAGTACAATTTAAAGGCTTAATTAGTTTAATTAGGGTAATCAGACAAGTCATTATACAACAGGTATTGGGTGAACATGAACATTTACTCACTATTTACAAAGCTGTTTCAAACCTTTATGAGTTTCTTTGTTGTGTTAAACACAAAACATATAGATGTTGAAGTTTATAAGAAACCTGACATCCATAGTAGGAAAAATAAATACAATGGAAGTCAATGGTTACCGGTTTTCAACATTCTTCAAAGTGTCTTCTTTTGTGTTCTACAGAAACTCATAAAGTTTAAAAGGCGAGTAAAAGATTTTTTGGATCAACTATTGCTTTTAGTGAGTTAAAATTAAGAAATAGTTCAAGCTTTGGAAACTTGATGATCCAAAGAGTGCAATAAATAATTTAGTATGTTTCTGGAATATAAAATAAATAGAAATAAATATTGGTGTTGGGTGTTTCGTTCTGTAGTCAGTGAAATAATCTAATATTCTTAAGAGCTAGGGCTAATATTGACATTAAAAACTGTTTAAAAACAAAATGTTAAAGCTGCTTTGTTTCAACTAAAAAAACTAAAAACTTTAGGCAGAAGAAAAAATATTGTAGTAAACACTGTGAAAATGTTCTTGCTCCATTAAACATCACATGAGAAATATTTGAAATAGAATTTAAAAAATGAATCACTGGAAATCTTCTGTACCTTCAAAGTCAGTGTACATGGAGTCCTTTAGCGTTGCTCCTGATCCAAAATCGATGACTTTAATGTCTCCAGTGCGAGTGTCAACGAGGATGTTTTCATCCTTGATGTCTCTGTGAACGATTCCCTTAGAGTGGCAGAACTGCACAGCTTCAATGACTTGCTTGAGGAACCTGAAAAGACACTTTTCATCAGTATTTTGACTCACTGTTACCATTAAAAAAATGTGAGAAATCTGTCATGAATTTTCACCTCCGTGCAAGAGACTCATCAAGAGCTCCGCGTTCAGTGATGAAGTCAAACAGGTCCTGGCAGTGTTGAGGCTTTTCAAACACAATGAGGTATTCCTGACCGGGTATTTCAAACCAGTCCAGCATCCGGATGATGCCTCGATGGCCGGGTACAGACCCCGATCCTCCACCGAGACTCTGCAGGAGAGCAATCTCATTGGGAACCGGGTTTACTTCACCAGGCTGTGGGGGTTTCAGAAAAGACAATGGTTAAGGTTAGATTCTGGTGTCACACTTTACAATAAGGTTTCATAAGTTAATGTGTTTACTAACATGAATTAATGAACATAATCTGTACTCCAAAATCAAACAAAAAAAAGGCTCAGGGGTAGCTTTAATAATGTGTCAGTGCTCTTTGGGTAAGGGATTCATCAAAATAAACAGCAAAAATCAGTCTGAGGCACTCGAAAAATGTGGATATAATATTAAAAAAGCCAATACACATGGCTAATTCCTCCATGGATGTTCATACCTGTACAACATTTACTAATGTGTTATTAAAATCTAATGTGGTGCTTGTTAGCATTAGTTCATGCACTGCGAGGTACATGAACGACTTTATTTTCATTAGCTAACATTAATAAAGACTGTAATGAATATATTGTTCATTGTTTGTTCTATGTTAGCAAAGACATTAACTAATACAACCCAGAGTTACCGATTCTGGTTAAGTTATGTAAAGAAAATTCCCTGAGGTGATATCCAGGGGCTCTCTCGTGGGTATTAAAAAGGGAAACTACATTTTTACGACACGTTGAAACGCACTTCTTGTTTTTAATCCAAATATATCTCACCGCGCAGGTCTAAAACTAATTCTGACACAACATGGAAAGCCCGTTCATTCAGTTTCCTTTTTAAGATGTTTTGAAAAATCCGAAACGTCACGCCTACGTCACTTTCTGTTAAGCGCGACGAGCTTCCAGTAAGAACCAAAATAATCAATAGAGGGCGCTAGTGTTAATGCTTATTCGCTGTCCGTGCACATTCAAAGTCCTGACGAGTTTTTAAATATGTTTAACTGATACCAAGTATATTTTACATTAAAACACATCACAGATCAAAACAAGTAACGTTAGATAAACGCGAATACTCACCATTTTTGACCACTGTTGGATTCTGTCTCGGGATATTTGTTTGATAGCAACCTAAAATAATAATAACCATAATTTAGAAGAGGAATGCATACACATTAGCATCTTTTTTCTTGTTTTTTAATCATTCTTACCTTTTGTCCGTCTGAAATCCGATGCCCGGAGTAAACTGAACCGAAACCACCGCTTCCCAGAAGATTTCCCATAGTATACTGCTTCTCAAAATGCTCTTTGCCTGAATAATAAAAACAACAATATTAAACAAAAAACATAACAACCAAGTAGCTAATTGTAACGTAAATTATGCATCTGAATTACGTTAATAACAAATTAAATTAAAAACAAACACATTTTTGCTTTACTTAATAGTTAAATACTTTTGAATGTTAAACAAATTGCACAAAAATACAATGCAGAAACAAACAAAACAAACAAAAAAATAACAATATAGATTTATTAGCTAACAGTTAGTTAGCCCGCGTACAAATAATAATAAACTTACCATTTTTGGCTTTCAGGATTTCCAGCTGATCCAAACGCACGTCAACAATCCGTTTGTCCAACATTTTCAGGTTTTAATAAGAATAAAAACTCTAATAATCAAAACAAACAGCCAAATAATATGAAAAATAGGCGCCTCAGCAGAGCATATCCATGTCCGTCTGTTGCTTTTAATCCACTATTTGTTTTCGATTCAAACTCCACCGTTATCACGCGTCCTCCGCCTCAGACACTCGCGCAGTTCTGAATCATCTCAGGTTTGTTGATGTTTTTAAGTTTACATGTGTAGCTCCGCCCACTCAACCAAACACTCCCAATCGTGGCCACGCTTGGAGTGTTTTGAAATGACGAGCCAATCACATCGCAGATAGGTTTAAACATATGAATAATAATGAGCGGTTGTTACAATTCTCAGAATCTTCAGAGACCGAGCAGAAAGAGCGCGCGCGGGATTACAAGAATATTGAGGGTTTTATTAGTATTAGTGTAAAATTAGGACTCGGTTATGTGCTAAAATGAACTATTTAGCGATTAAATTAAGTGTTTTAACATAATAAATCTGCAGCAAGTACACTACATGAACAATTAATCATGACAGCATGTGTTTTAAGTTATTGTAACTTCTTAAACTAAGTTAATGACGTTCTAACTTAATTTTATAAGTTATGCAAGCTGTTTTAAGCCAGTTCAACATAATATAAGTTCAATAGACTTGTAAGATTAAACTTATTCAGCTTAAAAAATAAGTAAACCAGGATTTTTTATGGTGTATAAACAAGACTGAAATTGATATTAATCAAATATTACAAGTATTAAATACATAGATACTAGTGAAACTGCGATAAATACTGCGTAAAACTTTAATTGCATTACATTTAGAAGTGAATAAATCTGTCAAAAATAAAATAATAATTTATAAATGTAATAAAAGTCTCCCTCCGTAACAAAAACAAAAAGAAAGATTAAAAAAAACTTTTTCTTTGGTAATAAATCTGACAAGAAATGCACTTCTTTGCAAAAACTGGATAAGATATGATGTCAAAGTATAAATAAATATGAATTGATATTAATATGACAAGTACTAAATACATAGTTACTGGTGCAACTGGAGTAAATGCCACATACAACTCTAAATGCATTACATTTGGACGTAAACAAATCTGACAAAAATGAAATAAAAATATTTAATTCATTAATAAATAAAAAAGTCTCCCTCCAAAACAAAAAAGATAAAATTGGTATTTTTTCTTAAGAAATCTGACAAGAAATGCACTTGTTTACAACAAAGATATGGTGTTAAAGTATAAATAAGACTGAAATTGATATTAATAAATTATTACAAGCACTTAATAGAAAGTTACTAGAGAAACTTGAGTAAATGCCACATCCAACTTTAAATGCATTACATTTAGACGTAAATAAATCTGTGAAAAATAAAATAATAATGTATAAATGAAGTAAAAGTCTCCTTCCATAAAAAACTGATCAAATAGTTTTTGTCGTAATAAACCTTACAAGAAATGCACTTGTTTGCAAAAACTAGATAAGATTTGGTGTCAAAGTATAAATAAAACTAAAATTGACATTAATATTAATTATTACAAGAATTAAATACATAGTTTCTGGTGCAACTGAGGTAAATGCCACATACAACTTTAAATACGTCTGTCATAAATAAAATAATTCATGTATAAATAAGTAAAGGTCTCCCTCCATAACAGAAAAGATGAAATAGTTTTTTTTCCTAACAGTAATAATACAGTAACTACAAAGTAAACATTAGCTACTACAGCAAAAAACACAATACTTCCTCCCATTCAAATACAAGAAATTCAAAAAAGCACAAACAATTTAAAGTGTTGCTGAAGGGCAGCCATTTTGCAAAGCATGGTCCACATATGCATCAATAAGATGTTTTTAGAGCAGCTTGAAATAAGCCTTTGACTCATCCTTTAGCTCTGCGCATGTGGGACAGTCCCGCATCAGCTATTTTCAAAATCTAATGTGGTTTCATATCCATGATAATGAAATACCAAGTAAAGAGGAACCGGAAAGATAGCGCTGGTTTGTGCAGATATATCAAGACAACCTCGATGACCTGTTCAAACGCCTGACTCATAGATTTCAGCATTGCATTAAAGATGCATGCATCAAAACAAAACAATTTCATAAACACAATTATTATATAAGTGTATTAACTACAAATGATTGCTAAAACTATAATAATTGATGCACATTTTAGAATAATGGTGCAATGAAGTCGTCCAAACTCTGACATGAAGCTTGAATAGGGCTGAGATACTAAAAAAAAACTGGTCACGTTTTATAACAAGGTATTATTAAATATTAATGTATTTATTTACTAATATAAAAACTACTTACTAATCATAGATCAACATTTACTAAAGCATTATTAAAATATAAATTCATGCTTGTTAACATTAGGTAATGCAAGGTGAGTTAACGAGAACTAACAATGAACGACTTAATTTCCATTAACGAAGATGAATATAGTAAAACATGTATTGTTAATTGTTTATTTATGTTAGTAAATACATTAAATATTATAACCTTTTTGTAGTGTTACATATTACACTTATACCATATTTATATAGTGTATACATCAGCATAGTCATTAATAATAACGATACACAACACCATATAGTAACATTTCTGTCAATTCAGTCAAATATAGTTTATACATTGACCTCATGAAGAGGACTTCTGTTTTTCCCTATTTAATCACGCTGACCGTGAGTACTGGGTTGGACAACTGCCTTAATCCTTCATGGCATAGATTCAACAAAGTACTGGAAATATTCCTCAGAGATTTTGCTTCATATTGACATGATATGCATCACACAATTGCTGCAAATTTGTCGGCTGCAAATCCATGATGCAAATCTCCCGTTCCACCACATTCTAAAAGTGCTCTATTGGATTGAGCTCTGATGACTGTGGAGGCCATATGAGTACAGTGAACTCATTGTCATGTTCAATAAACCAGTCTGAGATAATTTGCGCTTTATGACATGATGTGTTATCCTGCTGGAAGTAGCCATCAGAAGATGGGTACACTGTGGTCATAAAGGGATGGACATGGTCAGCAACAATACTCAGGTAGGCTGTGGTGTTGACACGATGCTCAATTCGTACTATTGGGCTCAACGTGTGAGATGTAAAAATATCCCCCACACCATTACACCAACCAGCCTGAACCAGTGATACAAAGCAGGATAGATCAAGCTGATCAAGACCTGAGCTGCTGCTGCACTGGTGGTCATGGGGGAGTGGAGAACATGAGTCTGATTCCAGTGACGCTCCAGGGACAGACGAGTCTTCGCTGAGGCCAGCTTCCAGCCTCCACTGAGGTGACTGAAGCTCTGCACAAGACTTTTGGCCAGCGGAGAAATTAAAATGGTCGTGCCCAACTGAGTCTGGTTCTCTCAAGGTTTTTTTCTTCAGTCTCCTTTTGGTGAAGTTTTTTTCCCTCTCCGCTGTCGCCACTGGCTTGCATGGTTCAGGATTGGTAGAGCTACGCATCGATGAATTTGCTCTTCAGTGTTTGGACTCTCAGTAATGATTTTAAATCACACTGAACTGAGCCAAACTGAACTGAACTTAAACACTAAAAACTGAACTACCCTGATCCAGTTACTATAACCATTTATGTGAAGCTGCTTTGACACAATCTACATTGTAAAAGTGCTATACAAATAAAGCTGAATTGAATTGAATTGAATCAATGCTTTCATGTTGTCGACACCAAATTCTGACCCTACCATCCGAATGTCGCAGCAGACATCGAGGGTCATCAGACCAGGCAACGTTTTTCCAATCTTCTCTGTTCCATTTTTGGTGAGCCTGTGCAAACTATAGCCTCAGTTTCCTGCTCTTAGCTGACAGGAGTGGCACCCGGTGTTGTCTTCTGTTGCTGTAGCCCATCTGCCTCAAGGTTGGACGTGTTATACATTCATTAGCTGGAACCAATCTGGCCATTCTCCTCTGACCTCTGGCATCAGCAAGGCATTTGGGCCCACAGAACTGCCACTCACTGCATATTTTCTCTTTTTCGGATCATTTTCTGTAAACCTCAGAGATGTTTGTGTGTGAAAAACCCAGTAAATCAGCAGTTTCTGAAATATTCAGACTAGCTTGTGTGGCCCCAACAACCATGCCACGTTAAAATTCACTTAAATTAAAAACAAGTAATCGAAACAGGTTTGTGAAAAGTGAATAATATAAATAATTCCTTACATTTACATAGCGCTTTTCTGAACATTCAAAGTGCTTAAAGGCTGATTTATACTTCTGCGCCAAACGCACGTGCATGCTACGGTGTTGATGCATAGCCCTACGCCGTGGCGTTGCTGACGTGCACCTCTCAAAAAATGTAACTACACGTCGCAACGACGCGTAGCGCAAGCTCTGTGATTGGTCAGCTTGGTAGCACTGACGAGTCTGGGCGGGGCCGAGAGCTGCGTGAATGGCGCAGGCCCGATGAAGTGATTGTTTACAAGTGTGGAGTCCCGTGAAGGAGCCCTGGATGGAAAGTTTTGTTTTGTGTTTACCTCACAGTAAAGTTGTTGCACGTCCGCCGGATCCTGCCTCAAAATGAGCGAGTTTGAGCCAATTGTACATCCAGGAAATGTTCAGGAACAGTAAAACAGCAGCGAAGAAACTCGACACAGAGGAGCATTAACACCTCACTGCCAACTGGTGTTTCGGAAGTGTTAATGCAGACCAACAGAGACAGCGCGCAGAAGTATAAATGCACAGCTACGCGCGTTGCATGCGCCATGGGTTACGCCAGTCACTTGACGCAGAAGTATAAACCAGGCTTTACACATTGAGGGGAATCTCCTCATCCACCACCAGTGTGCAGCATCCACCTGGATGACGTGACAGCAGCCATATTGTACCAGACCGCACACCACACACCAGCTGGTTGGTGGAGAGGAGACAGAATGATAAGGCCAATAATGATATGGGGAGGGTTAGGTGTCCATGATGGACAGAGGCCAGTGGGCAAATTTGGCCAGGATGCCGAGGTTAAACCCCTACTCTTTTTTGAAGGACATCCTGGGATTTTGAATGACCACAGAGTTGGGACCTCGGTTAACCGTCTCAATGGCACTCACTAAGCAGTATAGAGTCCCCTTCACTATACTGGGGCATTAGAACCCACACAGAACACAGGTTGAGCGCCCCTTGCTGGCCTCACTAACACCACTTCTGGCAGCAA